ATCTCACTCGCCATCTTCAGGCTGGTGTCATGAAGCCAAAAACACCAGCCTGAAGATGGCGAGTGAGATCTCGCCAAAACGTTGCCAAGACAATCTCAATCTTACACGGGAAAAGACCCTAATACAACAAGACTAGCATGCATGCACACACACACACACACACACACACACACACACGTAATAAAATTCTATTTAAATCATAAATACTTTTGTCTTTGTTTAATTACATACCCATCCACATCCTGGTAGTTCACATTCAGCCGTTTAGTTGATCCCAAGAGTTCTAGAGGAAGAAAAGAAGAAGAAGGGGTTTGTGTCAGTTTAGTATATAGTGGAATTGTGGGCTCTGTATGTCTGAATGCAAATGTAGAGACACATTTAGCAATGTTTTTCATGGGAATCTGCAACACTATGAAGGCTTTATAAGGAAGTATCTTGGCCACAGATATTGTGTTCAGCTCCAAGTCTGAATATTATCAGAAAAGTAATTTAGTGGCAAACTCGTTGCCCTCAATGTTGTCTCTCAACATAGTTTAGAATGAATGCATTAATGTTTCTTTGAAAGGAACAATCAAATAATCAGTTAGTATGAAAAAGTATACTCAATGCAGTTTTTTCCTTCTGCTTTTCTAGTAGCATATATTTAGATGTTTCTTTGCTTTGTCAGGAGCGGTTCTGTGATCATTCTGAAATTATAGTTGCCGTCCTAATAGTTAGAACTGATGATAGCGACAGCAACAAACCTGGTGCTCCAATAGATAAGGGCCATGGGGTTCCTCCTTCTCCCTGTAATTGGCCCTTGTCCCAAGCCTGGCAGACTCACCTTGCTGTGCACAGAACAGCACCTGGCCCATCCCTTCAGTCTCTCTTTCCAATTTCTTTAGCACTGCCTTCTATACTCTGTTCTTTGTGAGTGCCAGCTTGGGACTAGTCCCCTTCTTCACTTCACTTTTCCTCAAAACAGTGGCTGAAAATATTCCCCTCCCCAACTGATCACTTCCACAAAACCAGCAGACAAAAATCCCCCTTTCCCATCAATTTGTGCACTGGTTCAGTATCCTTGCTTCCCTTCTATCAGAGATGCCTGCCTTTATAAAGTGGCATGTCCGGAAAAAAATGAAAAACTGACATTTTGTTCCCACCACCTCCCTTCAGCTTTCCTGCTGCCAGGGAAAAAAGCCCACACACATCAGATGGCTGGCATTTTTCCTCCAGAGGCAGAGGTGGTAGATCCAGAGTTTTTAAATAAAGGCATTGTGTTTGCCTGACATTCCATTCACCTTGCTTATTCTCCAAGTACCCCACTTTTTGGTGGCCTACTTTGGGGATAACTCCACAATGGAGAGGCCCCTTCTAGTTTCCAAATGAAGTGTGCAACTGAACCAATTATGAAGCTCTCTCCCATAAACAGAAGCGAATGCATTTCTTTTCTTTCACACGATAATGGAGCCATTCAGGAATCTGAATGTAAAATAACGGGGCATCAAAAAAAGAAAGTTACATTTATGGATAGGACATACTGTATAAGCAAGAATCATTTTTGTCTGCTAACTCTCTCTTTCTATATATAATTTATTCTCTATTGGTTCGCAAATACTTCATCCTGCAATTTTTTTTCTATAGCACCAACTCTACACGATGGGTACACTGTTACAGAAGTTCCCTGAGGATGAATCTAAAAGCTCGGAAGACTAAACCCCTGGTCTCAGTGACCAACCCAGATTGGATTCTACAAGATGGATTGATTTGATGGAGAGTGACCTATTGAAAGTAATCCATTGAGTTTCTATGTCTGAAGGTGGACTTGAACTTGAGTCTCCAGAAATAATTCAGTCCTGTCCACTACACCATTTAAAATACATATCGATTCACTCTCTTGAAAACTAATTCGAAGATTTAGCATGTTTTACTGAATATGTTGGGTTTCTCTGAACAGCTTTTGAAAAATGCATAGGTCAACTATTTAACATGCATGAAGGAATCTTGCAAAAAATACATTGAACTTGTTGTGGGCAATTTTCAGCATTCTTAGAAGGAATGGTTGATTGGATTTGGCCCAATTTGGATACCAATATGAGGGAAGGTCACAGGAAAGTTACCACACTTTCTATTAATGTGGCATTTTTTCAGATTCTGTAGCTCAAGATCTGGAGAGGATTTGTGGAGACATGAGGACCATCACCTAACCTTCTCATATAAATTGCAACTGGCCTCATGGTTATGAAACGTGATTAATACCTTTCTTGGTTAAAGAGTCTGTGCTGAGGAAAAAAACACGTTCCTGAATTCGGAATATTTTGTAATACATAAAAATCAGCCTGTTATTTTTCAGTCAGTTTCTTCATAATACAAGATGGTAATGTTTGCACATAAAGTTTTGTAATTAGTACCTTCATCATCATCTTTAGACCAAAAAGCACTTACTCAGTATAATGTGATATGGTTAAGACATCAGGGAGATAGTGAGTTCTAGTCAGGTGTGGGATTCTACCGGTTCAGATGAACTGGTAGCTCTGACGATCAGCTGGGAGCGAACCCAGGTGGGCCCTGCCTCCTGCCTGTGCTATTTTCCTACCTTTATCTTCTCAGTTGATTTGTGCAGCAGAGCAGATTGCCGCGCAAATCAGCTGTATTACTCCTCTGAAGAAACCCGGAAATGAAGATTTCTTCAAACTGCGCACATGATCATTGAGCCAGTTGTTAAACCGGGAGGATCCCACCACTGGTTCTAGTCCTACTTTGAGCATGAAGTAGCTATCTTGAGCCAGTTACTTTATCTCAACCCTAGGAAGGAAGAAAGGGTAAACCAATTTTAAAAAATGTTGCCAAGAAAACCGCAGGGACTTGTCCAGGCAGTTCGCAAGAATTAGATACAATTGAATGGAAGTAGGGTGTGTGTGTGTGTGTGTGAGGCATTAACTGCCCCAGTCCTACATAAGCAGTGGACAACCATTTTAATATGAGCCAGCAGTGTGCAGCAGCTGCCAAAAAAGCCAACATAGTTCTAGGCTACATAAACATAGGAATAGAATCAAGATCAGATGAAGTGTTAATACCACTTTATAATGCCTTGGTAAGGCCACACTTGGAATACTGCATTCAGTTTTCGTTGCCACGATGTAGAAAAGATGTGGAGACTCTAGAAAGAGT